GATCAAGAAGCTCTTGTCTGAACAGAGCAAGAAGGAAGGTTTAAAATCAGAAAAGAGTGTCAGGAATGTCTTCTTTTATCAGTCTTATTCATTCTATATACTGAGCAAATCATTTGAGAAGCTGAACTCTATGAAGAAGAATCAGGATTGGAGGAAGACTCGTCAACAACCTGCACTACGCAGATGACACAGCCTTGCTTGCTGAAAGTGAGGACGACTTGAAACACTTGCTGCAGAAGATCAAGATTACAGCCTTCAGTATGGATTGATTCTCAACATGAAGAAAACAAAAATACTCACCACTGAGCAAATAGGTAGTATCATGATAGATGGAGAAAAGATTGAAATTGTTAACAATTTCATCTTACTTGGATCTGCAATCAACACCTTTGGTACCATCAGTCAAGAAATAAAAACATACTGTGTTGGGAAAATCTGCTGTCAAGGAGTTCTACAAAGTACTTAGAAGCAGTCACTTCCTGATATGTCTGAGAGCTGGAGAGTAAATAAGGATGATAGACTGAAAACTGATGCCTTTGAGTTGTGGTGTTGGAGAAGACTACTGAATCTTGCATGGCCTGCCAAAAGAACAAACAGATACTCTTTGGAAGTGCAACCAGAGCACTTCTTGGTGAGATGATAACAAAGCTTCATCTCACATATTTTGGACATACTGTTAGTAAAGGCTATTCCTTGGAAAGGGACATCAGGCTTGGAAAGGTGGAGAGTCAGCAAAAGAGAGGGATACCCTCAAGGAGATAAGTGACACAGAGACAACAGCAGTGGGCTGGAGTGTGTTAAAATTATGAGGCTGGCACAGAATAGCACAGGATTTTGATCTGTTGTTCATAGGGTCACTGTGAATCATATTCCACTCGACAGCACATAACACCTTGGTGGAGCCTGATTGTTCTCCCTCTCATGCAGGTGGGATATGAGAGGCAGGGTCAGCATTCTGCCAGTTTCCTACTGTTTTTTGTTCCAGTAAAACCGTGAATCAGAACTTCAAATTGCTCCCCAGCTGAGAATTTGCCTTTCCACCTTAGGTATACTGAATTAGAATCTGTATTTTAACAAAACCCCCTGGATCTATAAGAGTCTTTAATAATCACCTGGGGAGATGTTATTACAGTGTATCTAGGGTGGAAATGTCAATTATTATCAAGAAGTCAAATCAGAATGAGCTGGTTCTAAGCCCTGCCATCAAGCATAACACCATGCAAAGTGTACTCACCTAGCACTCCAACCTCTAAGCTCAGTGGCTTGCATTTCTTCTATAGGAAACCCAGACACTAGACACTGCCTTCAAGGAACTCATTGAAGAAGAGTGAGGAATGCAGTAAGTGCTTACAGATGTTTCACAAAGAAGAGTATAGAGAGTGCATATAGAAAAGAACTTCTGCCTAAGACAATCAGCAAAGTTTTTATAAAGAATCTATTATATTGAAATCTGTTTTCACCAGGCCCACAGAAAACAAGGTTCTTCATAGTTCAAGGGGAGAAGCTGAGAGTGACGTCTTCAGAAGAGGACACCATCTCAGTATAAAGGATCAGAAACATGTAATTGCCTTGTGTGTTTGTTAAGGAGGAAGCTGCACACGGTGGAGTGTGCTTGCGATATTATCTGGCAGGTTCTGAGCATGGTAGGACACAGATTCTAGAAGAATCTCCTTAGCCCTAGAATGGAGTATGGACTAAAAGCAGAGAAGGAAAGAGGTGGGGAGGCCAGTTTGGAGGCTGCTAAGATGATAAAAGTCTGTACTGGGGAGCAGTACTTGAGTTGAAGGGGAGTGGTCATTGGGTCAGCACAGCCTATGGACTGAATAGACATGGAAAGTGATAGAGATGTGCAGATTTGGTGACCATTCACTGAGATTGGACCCTTCACTGAGACTGGGAACGCTGGAGGGGAAGCAAGTTTGGGAAGACAGGAAATGAGCTCTGTTCTAAGAACCTACTTGTGAACAGATCTAATAGGCAGTGGGATAAATGGACCAAGGAAGTGAAGTAGATGCCCAGAGAAGATGCCAGAGGGGGAGCTTGTGATCTGGAGGCCATCAGCATGGAGGTGAACATTAGACTTATGAGAGTAGATGAGATCACCTGGAAAAGAGGATGAAGTGAGATGACCAGGTACAGAAGAGTCAGAGCAGTAGCTGAGCTCCCAACAAAGAGCCAAGCAAGCAGACAGACCCAGCAGTGCTGCGGAAGAAGGCACATTCTGAAGTCAAACTTGGAGGCACACATGGCTTTTGACATTGCAGCACAGCTTCTTACCACTAGGCCACCAGAGCTCCCTTACCTAAGGTCACAGAATTTCAGAGTTAAAAATCCTTTACATATTATCGAGTAGATCCCTCCAAGTGAAGCCGTTTACATCTCCCCCCCAACACATTTTGTGCTCATCTCGGTTGCACACTACCTCTACACGCACCTTATTCTCCCTAGCCCAGCTCCAGGATAATCTCATTCCCTGCGTTCCTTTTGTCATTCTCCTCTATGGGCCAATAGGCTATTTCACATACCATTCTGTATAGTAGAGTTTGGGTTTTCCTACTTCATGACTGTTTTATAGCAGTAGACTTTAGTAACCAATATCCACTACCATTAAAGTACTTTCAATTGGGAATTGCACTGCTAACCTAGAGACTCCTCGGCAAAAGATGGGCATTCTCCTCCCGTGTGATTTACAACCTCCAAAAACCCACTGGAGAGTCTGTTCTGACTCGATAGGAAGGAGTTTATATTCACACTAACCCCTTTAGTATGCACCATTACTAATCCTAGTTTACCAGAGAGAAAATTGAGATATAGAAACATCGTACAATTTAACAAACACCCAGAAACAGGGAGTGGCCTGGCTCAGGTTTGAGCCTGGATAATCTGATGTCAGCAGTACTGCCTACTTACAAGTTCCATTAGCACTGTGTAATGGCATTGCTGTTCACACAACAAGTACTTACTGATGGTGGTATTACTACTCCAAACTTGTAGAATTTTAAAGCTGGAAAGTACCTTTAAGCTTTTCTCATTTTACAGATGAGGAAGCTAAAACCCAGTAAAGCTGATTAACTCCTGTAGTCTTTATGACATTCAAACCACTAATCACACAAACCTCATGCAGAGTATACAAACCTGATAAAAATAAGTATATGATAGTGCTCCAGTCATATTAAAGTCCTTCAAACTCTAATGCCAGCTGGATTTACCTGCTCCAGCCCACCCTTCTCATCACTCCAGCACTTGAATGGAACTCTGAGTTCCAGTGTCAGAATCTACATACAAGACTGAATTGGAAATTTGCATTTTAACCTGAGGATCTCATTAAAACATAGATTCTGATTCAGTCTGTCTGGAGTGGAAAGCCACATTCGCAACAGGGTGTTGAGCAGGAATGAATATTTGCATCTCTATTCACTACTAGTTGGATAACCCAGAGGAAGTGTCTTAACCTTTGAGCTGTAGATTCTTCATCCATAAAATGGAGGGGCTTGTAGCTCCAGCCAAGGAACTACATGAAAAAATTCACACAGAACTAAGGACCAAGTTGGAGTCGACCTTTGGTTTTCATTCCTCACTTGCCCCTTGTTAGTCTTGGGCCTTTTGGGGCAAGTGTTGGTTTCTTCATCTCTAAAATAGGGATAGTCTAGGGCTATACCACCCTGAGCTCACTTGATCGCATGTAAAATGGGGTGATAAAATTCACTTGCCAGATTTACTGTGTGATTCAAAAGAGTGTGCATGAAAACACTAAAATATACGGGTGTTAGTGGTTGTGTCCTTCTCTCTTATAGGCTCACTGGGTACATCCCCATCCTTTACACTTTTTTCATTCTCAGAATGTTTATGTCTAGGAAAATATTACTATGAAAATGACAACTGCTATATCTGTGTTTCATTGATTATGCAAAGGCAATTGACTGTGTGGATCATAACAAACTGTGGCTGACTCTGAGAAGAATGGGAATCCCAGAACATTTAATTGTGCTAATACGAAACCTATACTTGGACCAAGAGGCAGTAGTCAGAACAGAGCAGGGTAACACTGCATGGTTCAAAATTGGGAAGGGTGTACGCCAGGGATGCATCCTGTCTCCATACCTTTTCAACATGTATGCAGAGCAGATTATCCGAGAGGCTGGGGTCTATGAGGAGAATTGTGGCATCAGGATTGGTGGAAGATCTATTAACAATCTCCGTTATGCAGATGACACAACCCTGCTTGCTGAAACTGAGGAGGACCTCATGCACTTGCTGCAAAGGGTCAAGGACTGCAGCCTTCCGTATGGACTAAGGCTCAATGTCAAGAAGACAAAGATTCTCGCTACTGGACCAATTAGCAGTGTCAGGATGGATGACGAAGAGATTGAGAGTGTTCACAGCTTCAGTTTGCTCGGCTCCACAGGCAACACTCTTGGCACCAGCAGTCAGGAAATCAAAAAGTGTATCGCGATGGGAAAGTCTGCTGTTAGGGACCTCTCAAAGGTACTCAGGAGCAACAGTGTCTCTCTGGAGACTAAGGTGCGCCTGATACAGGTCATGGTATTTGCAATCGCTTGTTATGCATCAGAGAGTTGGACAATGACTAGGGAGGACAGAAGGAGAGTGGATGCTTTTGAGCTGTGGTGCTGGAGAAGGGTACTGAATGTACCATGGACTGCCAGGAAAACAAACAGATTCATCTTGGAGAGGATTAAACCAGGCTGCTCCTTGGAGGCAAGGATTCTGGGGCTTCGTCTGACATACTTTGGACATGTTGCCAGGAGGGATGGGTCCTTAGAGAGGGACATCATGCTTGGGAGGGTGGAGGGACAGCGCAGGAGGGGAAGACCCTCTATGAGATGGATTGATTCGGTGACTGGGGTAATCGGGATGGGTGTGTCAGAGGCGGTGCGGTTGGCGCAGGATAGAGCAGGGTTTAGGGCTGTTGTGCATAGGGTCGCTATGAGTCGGAAACGACTCGACGGCACATAACAACAACATACCTTTTTTTCTCCTAGGTGTCAATATTTCTAAAGGACAAAGTTCAAAATTCGAATGGTCGCTTTGTGTTGCCAATTTCTGGGCCTGTTCCCTGGGGAACTGAAGTTCCTGGCCTCATCAGGTGAATTCCTAACAGTAATTGTCATTGTTTGGGGTGCCTGAAAACCCATGTGTAGGCCCCGAGCAGAATGCAGCACTGCTAAACCCCTGGGTTCTGCTCAGTACAACAGTCCTGGGGTCAGGTCCTAACCTCAGTTCTGCCTTTCAGGTAGGCAGGCCTTCCAGTTCTTCAGGCCTCCAATTCTTAGCTGTCATCCTTGGTGACTATGAAGATGAATAGGATAATAGTTCTGTAAAGTGCTTCTATAGTACCTGGCATGTAAAATAGATGTTATTTCTCATTAGAGTATTATTTTTATTACAGTAACCAAGTGTTTTAAACAAGCATCTTTATCTAGGGATCTCTGGTATTGTTATTGTAGGGAGTTGCACTACCAGCCTAAAGGCAGCCAGTTCTAATCCACCAGTGCCTCCTTGGGAGAAAGATGGTTATTCTCTTCCTGTGTCATTTACGACCTCTGAAAACCCAGTGGAGGGTTAGCTATCAGTCAACTCTGACTCAACAGCATTGAGTTTGTTTGGGTGGGTGGGATGTTTCCTTGATGAAGTACATAAATCCTACTTGTTCTGTAGTACAGAGTAGAGAAGCCTCCAGGACTGCTTATGGAGAATATTCCATTATGTCGTGTTTGCATTATAGAATGTTCAACAAGAAAGGCAAAGAAGTGAAGAGGATTCAGTTCCACCATGGTGGGAACTACACTACTGCATCCAAAGAAGGTTCTTTTGAGCTTTATGGAGACCGAGTCCTAAAACTGGGAACTAATATGTAAGCACATTTTCCTTCCCTAAATTAACTCAAGTCCAAAGAAGTTGATTTCATTTACAAAATCACCTTGACGTCTGCTTTAAAAATCCCTGCTCACCACTTGAGTGATTTCCCTTTAGTGAAAATACCTGCAGAACTCTGGCATTTCCAAAGGGCAGCCAGGAACTGCAAATGTAAGATAACACAGCATATATATCTTTCAAGAGCAGCCACCTCTACTCTCCTTTCCCAAGTAGTTTTCTCTGGAAAGAAGTGAAGTTTGACTGATTGATACCCACTGAATTGTATTCTATATTCCCAGCACCTTTTTTGGGTGCTATTAAATGTTTCAAAATAAAATAAATATGGGTTATATCTGTGTGTTAGGAAATAATCATTGTAAAAGGGCTGGATAATATTTGCAATATTTTCTGTTGACATCAGGTACAGTGTGAATCGACCTGTAGAAACACATATGTCTGGAACATCAAAGAACTTAGCTTCACGGACAGAGGTAAGTGCCCACTTCCCTTATCATCAGAACTTAATTCTAGATATAAAAGTGCAGGCGGAGAATGATGAGAACTGTTTCCATTTCAAAGCTAGCCAAGATCTCCCTCACTGTTTGCAGTCTTCTTCATTCAGCTTTACAAAAATACAGGTTTTTAATTGTAGTTTCTCATGGAGACTTCTAGTGATCTGACTAATGAGGTAATTGTAGGCTTGGCTCAACAACCATAATTAAACCAGAACCACACACCAGGACATGTGAAATAGCACTGTGCCCATGTCATTAAGTTTGTGGTTGCTGATTCTAACACTTGTGTGTATTCTGATCACTAAAGTGTCTCTCTTTAATCTTTTCTTCTAAAGTGAAGCACTAGCTAAGTTCAAAATGAAATTTTAGATTCTCTGAAATCTGTCTTTATACATTTTCGCTGAATTAGCTACTTGTTATCCATAGTCCATATTCTGGGATAGTCCATTATTTCTTAAACTGCATCTATGGGTTAGGTACCCAGGGTCACAAAACTGACAGAGATGTGACCTCAACCTGAAAGGAGTCAGGTACCCTGCAGAAGACAGAGTAAGAAAACAACAGGGAAAAAAAAAGAAAAGAAATTATAAGAAAACAATAGCCACAACATAGTGTAAGAAGAGCTAGCTGGGAATTCTGAATAAAACATGCTCTGTCCACTCGAGTGGGGAGCAGAAGACAGGGGCCAGGAAGACTTTTTCCAGGAGGGAGCATTCAAGTGGAGCTTTAAAGAGAGGTGAAATAGTTAATAATAGAGAAGGAGAAATGGGCTCCCAGACTGAGATGAGGGTGTGATCAAAGGCACAGTGGAGCAAAGTGTCCTGTTTAGGAGAAGCAAGGAAACAGGATCGCTCTCACGTGGATAGATCATAACATAAAGAGACAGACATATGAGTCAAAAGCGACGGCAGGGCCTGGTTAGAAAGCACTTGAATATGGTCCTAAACAGTTGGGACTTTGTTCTGTAGGCAGGAGGCAGAGAGTTCTGTTTCAAATGACAAAGAGTAGCAAAGTGAAGGAAGAAGCTGAGAAGCAGAAAGGCATTCACCTTGAGAGGAAAGATTAGGCTTGGGGGTGCATTCCTGACTATCACCACCTGAGGGCAGTGTGGTGGCACCTGTGGAATGAGCACTGCTGTACTAGAGACTGAATTGTGACTACCTTATACTCTTCTCATTTCTGTCACCAAGCCTGTATTTTCCAACTACTGGTCCTTCTCTCTTGTTCCCAACTTTTTCATTCCAGTCACCAGTTACTATTAATAAATCTTGGTTGCATGTTCGCTATATTTCATTTCAGCCTGCAAAAGTTGATTGTTGTTGTTGTTAGGTGCTATCTAGTCGAGTATGACTCATAGTGGCCTTATGAACAACAGATCTGAACTATGTCCTATGCTATGCAATCCTCCCACTTCCTGACACACTAGAGCCCATTGCAGCAGTCACCATGTTAATCCATCTGGTCGAGGGTCTTCCTGTCTTTCATCAGCCCTCCACCCTTCCAAGCATCATATTCCTCTCCATGGGATAGCCCCTCCTTAACAACATGCCCAAAGTGTGTGAGACAAAGCCTCCTTATTCTTGCCTCCAAAGAGTACTAAGGCTGCACCTCTCCAAGGCATATTTATTTGTTCTTTTGGACAACTGTGGGATTTTCAGTGCTCTTCTCCAGTCAGTTCTTCTGTCATCCTTATTCATTTTTCCAGCTCTCAGGTATATAGTGAGTAATCAGAAAGACCGTGGCCTGATTAGACACACTTTAGTCCTCAAACTGACATTATTACTCCTCAATAATTTGGAGAGGTCCCTAACTGCAGATTTCCCCAGTGCAATGCATTTCCTTAATTCCTAACTGCTGGTACCAAGGGTAGTAATAGTGGCTCCAAGTATGATGAAATTCTTGACAATTTCGATCTTTTCTCCATCTACCATGATGTTACCTATAAGTCCAGTGGTAAGAATCTTTGTTTTCTTGACATTGAGATGCAATCCATATTGAAGGCTGCATTCCTTGATCTTCTGCAACAAGTGCTTCAAGCCCAGGACACTTAATTATCAGAAAATCAAAAGTGAAGAACACACTTGTCATTTCTCAAGCTGAAAGAACTGAAAAACAAATTCAAGCTTTGAGTTGATATACTTAAAGATGCTGTGGACAAAATATTGAATGATCCAGGAAGCATGAAAAGAAAGTGGAAGGATTCAGATGTAAATGGAATGAGATCATTCAGCCTCTCAGTTTCATATGTTTAGTGTTGTTTCCATTCACATGCTTAATTGGCATACAAATATGATTTTCATTTGAAAAAAAGAAGGTGGAAGGAGTTCACAGAGTCACTGGACCAAAAAGAACTGGCTGACACAGAACTATTTTAGGAGCCAGTGGTAATGAAGGAGGAAGTTAAGGCTGCTCTGAAAGAATTGGCAAAAAAATAAGGCTCCAGAAATTGATGGAATACTAGTTGAACAAACAGATGTAGCCCTGGATGTGCTCATCAGGTTGTGCCAAGAAAATTGGGGGACAGCTGGCTGGCCAAGTGACTGAAAGAGATCCATATTCATTCCCATTCCCAAAAATGGTGATCCAACAGAATGTGGACATTATCAAACATATCACCAGTATCTGATGCAAGCAAAATAACGCTGAAGATCATCCAAAAATTATTAGAACAGTACATCGACATAGGCAAGTTTTAGAGGAGGCCATAGCATTAGAGATACTATTGATGTCTGATAGATTTTTGGCTAAAAGCAGAAAATACCAAAAGTATTTCTATTTGTGTTTTGTTGTCTAAACAAAGATATTTGACTCTGGATTACAACAGATTGTGGCTAACATATATTTGGGGGTAGGGGATGGGGTTTGGGGAGGTGCGGGGGGGGCGGGATTGTGTACCAATGAGGGAGTTTTTCTTTTGCTTTTCAAGGAGAGGAGCAAATGGGGGGGAGG